TGGCAACAGTGAACAGGGAATGCTTTTCGCACACCACTTTGACCAGGGCTGACTCCCTAAGCCCAAAATGTCCTATTTCCTTGATGTTTGGACCAAAAGTAGAATCTGCATGCTACCTACTCATAGGGACAAGCAAAGGCTCAGTAGCTGTCTTGGGCCTCGGGGGTCTGGGTGGTCTTCCCAGCCCAGGGAGAAGGAGCTGTCTCCCACGCTTAGCTTGGTAGGCTGGAAGGAGCTGGCTTTGGGGCCATGCGGACTGAGCTTGCGGCCTTTAGGAAGCACATCTAAGCCTTTATCCTCAGCTTTTTTCAAATGTAGAAGAGAAATAATAATAGCTCTCTTTGCAAGGTTTTGTGGGAATTAGAGAGAATACAATGTAAACAGTGAACCTAAACCAATTAAGTCCTAGTAAGTGGTAGCAAAGGTTGGATTTAGCCCCCCATTCCCACATCTACTGGCTGTATAAGCTTAGGCAGTGTTTTTGCTTCTGGGCCTTGGTTTCCTTACCTATAAAACGGGTAGAGCAGCGGAAGTTTGCCATGAGAATGAGAGGAGCCTTGAATGAGAAGTGTGGGTGGTTCATTAGTCCTGTGGCTATTTCCAAGCCCCAAGGGGAAGTAGACGCCTTTCCCTGGGTGCAGGTGCTAGAACGGACGGACTCCTAGAGACCGAGTTCCTGCACAATGACAGAGCAGGACCGTCCTGGCTGCAGGGCCTCCCTGCCCTGCACTTCAAGTGGCCACTGTGAAGCCAACAGCTGTCCCCTCCAAGTGGCATTCTTGGGGCACAAAGGGCGGTGGAGAAAGCAGGGCACACTGGCTCATTGTCCCTGGGACTGAGCAGCAGCGGGTGAGGGGCACCCCTTCTGACCTCCAGCCCCTCCCAACCCCATGGCTATTTGGCTGCCAGGCCTTCGCTGCCGGATCTTACAGTATCCCCCAGCAGCACCTGAACCATCACGGGACCCCTTACCCCATGGCATCTTTTACCAAGGGCCCTTAGGGATAATGCATTTTAAGAAGGGATAGGTCCAAGTGCAGTGGCTCACGCCTTTAATCCCAGCACTTTGGGAGACCAAGGTGGGCAGATCGCTTGAGGTCAGGAGTTCGAGACCAGCCTGGCCAACATGGTGAAACTCTGTCTCTACTAAAAATAAAAAAAGTAGCCGGGCATGGTGGCAATCGCCTGTAATCCCAGCTACTTGGGAGGCTGAAGCAGGAGAATTGCTTGAACGCGGGAGGCAGAGGTTGCAGTGAGCCGAGATTTTGCCACTGTACTCCAACTTGCGCAACAGAGCGAGACTCTGTCTCAAAAATAAAACAACAACAAAAACCACCCCTGTGTCAGGCACCCACGTGTACTTTCACTGATCCTTAGCCCTCCGGGTACATAGTGTGCATTGATCCCATTTTACTGATGCAGAATCTGGGGTTTAGAGAGGCGATTAAAGCCTGACCCAGGAAATAGACTGGTGGCTGACAAAGGCTGGATTTGAACCCTGGCCTGCCTGACGCCCCTGTCTGCACCGTCGCCGTAAAGGCAGGGCGCTTAGTGGAGAGGAAGGCGGGTATTCCAGATAAAAGAAAGGTAGGCATGGCCATGATCTGCCCGGCAAAGCACTGGCTGCCATTGATCCCAGGCCAGGGGCACGGGCATGATGACCTCGCCAGGCCCTGCAGCCAGAGAATTCCAAAGCTCCCCCCACCTCCACCCCCGCTTTTCAGAGCAGAGCATTAATAAAGGGGAAGGAGCTGGATGATGACAATTCAGGAAATTTGCAGCCGGAGCTAAATGACAGCCTCATAATGATGGTGATTAAAAATTCACGCTTCTGTTTTTACAGCGATTTGAGTGTCCACTTAGCACCATGAATCAATTAATAAACAAAAACACAAGGGCTAGGGATAAGCTTCAGGGCACAGAAGAGGGGGTTGTGAGGTTTCAGAGGGGACATCCCAGGGCTGGGGCACTGCTTCTTGTTGTTGTACAGTGGGGACACCGGTTCACTTCAAGAGCCATGAGGTGGAGCAGCTCCCCCCAGCCTCAGCGAAGCTTAACAATCAGTCAGCTCCTCTGGGTGTCTGTTTGCTCATCTGTAAAAGGGGTGAGGTTGGCCAGGCACAGTGGCTCACGCCTGTAATCCCAGCACTTTGGGAGACCGAGGCAGGTGGATCACCTGAGGTCGGGAGTTCGAGACCAGCCTGGCCAACATGGAAAAACCCCATTTCTACTAAAAATATACAATTAGCCGGGTATGATCTCGGCTCACCTCAACCTCTACCTCCCGGGTTCCAGCAATTCTCCTGCCTCAGCCTCCCAAGTAGCTGGGATTACAGGTGTGCACCACCATGCCTGGCTAATTTTGTATTTTTAATAGAGACCAGGTTTCTCCATGTTGATCAGGCTGGTCTCGAACTCACAACCTCAGATGATCCGCCTACCTTGGCTTCCCAAAGTGCTGGGATTACAGGCATGAGCCACTGTGCCCAGTCAATTTTTTGTATTTTTAATAGAGATGGGGTTTCACCATGTTGGCCAGGCTGGTGTTGAACTCCCGACCTCAGTTGATCCACCCACCTTGGCCTCCCGAAGTTCTTGGGATTACAGACATGAGTGAGCCAACAAGCCCGGCCTTTATTTTTTTTTCTTTGAAAAAAGGATCTTGCTGTCACCCAGGCTGGAGTGCAGTGGTGCAATCATGGCTCACTGCAGCCTCAACCTCCTGGACTCAAGTAATCCTCCTGCCTCAGCCTCCCAAGTAACTGGAACTACAGGCATGCACCACCATGCCCACCTAATAATTTTTTAATTTTTAATAGAGATGGGAGTCCTGCTTTGTTGCCCATGCTGGTCTTGCACTCCTGGGCTCAAGCAATCCTCCCACCTTGGCCTCTGAAAATGCTGGGATTACAGGTGTGAGCCACTGTACCTGGCCTGGACCTAGACTTTTTGGGTAGCCAGTTCAATTTACTGCAGAAGGTATTTTGAATAAGCAAAAACTATGACTGCAATCCCCGTTGTTTGTGTGCCAAACTAATGATGACCCACTGGGAGAAAGGATTTCATCCATGTGACACCCACCACACACCTCTGCTGGCCAGGCACCTAGAGGTGGGATGGGAAGCCCTGGTGGAGGAGGAGAGAAGCTGGGGTGATGGAGGGAGGAGTCTTAGCCAAGAGTCTCCTTCATGTTCATCCCTCATCAGTTAACTCTTGGAGGCCACCAGAGTAGCAGAAAGCTCTTTGGGCTGTATCCCCAGGGCTCTCATGATTTTAAAAAATCATCCCCAGGCTAGGCGCGGTGGCTCATTCCTGTAATCCCAGCACTTTGGGAGGATGAGGCAGGCAGATCACCTGAGGTCAGGAGTTCGAGACCAGCCTGGCCAATATGGCGAAACCCTGTCTCTACTAAAAGTACAAAAATTAGTTGGGTGTGGTGGTGTGGGCCTATAATCTCAGCTACTCGGGAGGCTGAGGCAGGAGAATTGCTTGAACTTGGGAGGCAGAGGTTGCAGTGAGCCAAGATCATGCCATTGCACTCTGGCCTGGGCAATAGAACAAGACTCCGTCTCAAAAAAAAAAAAAAAAGAAAAAAAGAAAAAAATGCATCCTCTAAGCAGCCCCCGTCCAGTCTTCCCCTGACCATCCCTCAGAGTGCCATGCATAGTTCTCAGAGCCCTGCAGTGGCTCTGCTAACTTCATGATCACTCCCCGAAAAAGCTGGCCCCAGCAGGCCTCCCAGAGTTGGGTCCCTTCTCAGCTCTTCAGCCTCATTGCCCCCATTCCCCCTCTTTACCTCCACTTCTGCCAAACCAAACCCTTGAGCACTTCCTCAGTCTGCACATTGCTCCATGCCCCAACCTTCATACTGCTGGCCTTCTTCCAGAACATTCTCTCCCCATCATCATGACTCTCCGTTGAGAGTGCTCCCTGCCACCCCTTCCTGCCCTGCTGGGTCCCTTGTGCCTCTATCTCATTATTGTGTGAAAGGCTAATGTCCCCTCCTTGACAGGGTCATCTCTGAGGGTAGGGATGTGACCCTAGTGCATAGATGCTCAGGGATGTTTAGGGAAGAAAATCATCAAGAGACCCAGATTTGAACCGCATCTGTATCGCCTCCCAAACCACGTGTCCTTGGTCTCCCTGGGCTTTGATGCCCTCATCGGTCCTGCATGCGCTGCCAGGCTACTGTGAGCCTCTAATGAGCCTGTGTTGACAGATGAATGCATTCTTGGGACGACTAATCAACACACACAACTAAGGCCAAGAGAACCAGGGTTTCTACCCCAGGGACCCCCTCAGCCCCACCCTCTAGCAGCCCTGGAGCCGGGTCCCTCTGCCTGTCCCAGGATGCAGTCAGAGGCTTGAGCTTCTGGAAACTCTTGGATCTTGTCCCTGCTCCTCCCAGTCCTGCCTCAGCTCCAGGCGTCTATCTCTCCAGCTATTTTATTTTCTGATCTGGAGTTCAAAAGAACAGATCTAGGAGTGACAGCCATGGGGAACAACAGCCAGCAGGCTCATTCATGTTGGCCCAGATGAGAGCCTGCAGGCTGCCCACCTCTCCCCGCTGGGTCTGGGCACCCAGAAAGGAGGGCGTTTGGGTTCTGGTTCTACGGGCATCAAAGGCCAATGTGACTGAGAACAGCAGCTCTAGTTAGAGGCAAGGCCAGTTTGGGGCCAAGAGCAGGGGGAGGGGGGAGCCTGGTCTAATTAGAGCCCTAACATGCTCCTTTGAAAGCATTTTCAGATGTCCCCAGCCCTGCAGGCAGGGGTGGTGTAATAATAATAAAACAACATTTGCATAGAGATTTCATTTATAAAGCACTTTCTCAGGGGTGGGGTGGCACTGGGTGGCCCTGTGGAATCCTGGCTGGGAGGCCGCCCTGGCCTTGGGTCGGTTCCGCCCTCCAGCCAAGCTGGCGATTGTGTGTGAGGTAAACAAAGCGCCATTCATCCAACTGTTTCCGATTCCTCTGCTCTTCATTCCTTTTCCCCTGTCTCCCGTGAAGAGCTCACTCTGGGCTTGTCACTCAGGCCAGAAAAGGGGGTCAGGGGTCCCAGAGGGAGACCCCTTCCCTGATGGGAAGCAGCAGGGAGGTGGGACGGCTCCCTCCCTCTGCACATCCCCACCACCCCCAGCTCTGGCAGAATAACAGCCTTGCTGCGGTTGGTTTGTGCAACTCTTTGCTAACCTGTGGCAGTGTCTTCATGGACAAAGTATGAGCCCAGGTTTGGTAATGTCTGCGTGCACGCCACGTTTGTGTTTGGTAACATGCAGAGATAAGCAGTTTGTGGCGCTCTGCGAATCCCTCCCTACCGGAGTGGGCCTTGTGTACACAGTGTGGGGGCGAGGGGCCCTGGGGTGCCTGCCCCTGCACTGGGTGGGCGGGGTGAGGCAGCTGGGCCCCACTCTTATACAGCCCAGGCTGGAGAGTCGCCTGCAGTCACCTGGCCTCTGGCACCCTGGGGTGAGGCACTGGGCGCTGGCCCCTTAAGGGCCTCTGATCAGCTATATCGGGCCCAGCTGCCTGGGTTCCGGCAGCTTCCGCAGCCCCAGCCGGAGATGGAAGATGCAAGAGGTCATTGCGGGGCTGGAGCGGTTCACCTTCGCCTTCGAGGAGGATGTCGAGATGCAGAAGGGCACTGGGCTCCTGCCTTTCCCGGGCATGGACAGTGAGTGAGGATGGGGCCACGATCCCTCCCCTACCTCCCCCCTTTTCTTTCTTTTTTTTTTTTTTTGACGTGGAGTCTCGCTTTGTCGCCCAGGCTGGAGTGCAGTGGCGCCATCTTGGCTCACTGCAAGCTCCACCTCCGGGTTCACTCCATTCTCCTGCCTCAGCCTCCCGAGTAGCTGGGACTACAGGCGCCCGCCACCACGCCTGGCTAATTTTTGTATTTTTACCACAGACGGTGTTTCACCATGTTAGCCAGGATGGTCTCTATCTCCTGGCCTCGTGATCCACCCGCCTTGGCCTCCCAAAGTGCTGGGATTACAGGCCTGAGCCACCGCACCTGGCCTCCCTCCCCCTACCTTCTCTACAGGCCTCTCTGCTCAACTCCCTCATGCAAGGGCCGCTTCTCTGTCTCTCTCTTCTGTGGCTTCGGGGCAACCCATTTTCCACACTGAGAGAGGCACAGAGAGACCATGAACTGAGAGAAGCCACACTGGCCTCCCGAGCTCCTGGGCCAGCCTTGAGCACCTCGAGCTCCTCTGTTTCAGAGTTGGGGGGTTAAGGGTTGAGGTCTGCTGGCTGGCTCTGAAGGTTAACCTCTACAGGGCCCAGATTTGAGGGCCCACAGGCCAGAGCCTGGGGGAAGTCTAGGTGGGACATGCCGATAGGAGGTGGAGGCTCCTGGGACAGCTGCAGCCTCTGGGGAAGCTACCTTCTCCGTTCCCTTTTCTTCTTCCAGAGTCGGCCTCAGCTGTGTGCAACTTCTTCGCTAAAGGGCTCTGTGAGAAAGGTGAGTTAGTGGGCAGGCCTGGGCCCCGAACTGGGTGAGTGTAGGGTCTGTCTGAGCTACACCCAGCAGGGGCTCTGCCTGGCCTGGGACCGGGTGTCAAATTTGCACCTGGGAAGGGAAAATTGGGATGGAGCGGAATTTTATTTTTCTTTTATTTATTTTTAGACGGAGTCTCGCTCTGTCGCCCAGGCTGGAGTGCAGTGGTGTGATCTCGACTCACTGCAACCTCCGCCTTCCGGGTTCAAGCGATTCTCCTACCTCAGCCTCCCGAGTAGCTGGAACTACAGGCGTCCACCACCAAGCCTGGCTAATTTTTGTATTTTTAGTAGAGATGGGGTTTTGCCATGTTGGCCAGACTGGTCTCAAACTCCTGACCTCAGGTGATCCACCTGCCTAGGCCTCCCAAAGTGCTGGGATTACAGGCATGAGCCACCATGCCCGGCCATGGAGCAGAATTTTAGACTTACAGGTAGACAAAGGATAAGTGGATGGATCCACCGAGCAGCCTGCCGCTCCCCTAAGATTTCCCCACCTCAGCAGCAGTCTTCGTAGTTTGCAGTTCGCGTCAGGGTAATCAGGCTGCCTGGAAAGGGGTTTTTCTTTCTTTCTGCCTTGCTGGGATGGGCGTGTGTCTGAGCTTTGGCCTATGCATTCCCAGGAGGCTCCAGCTTCTTGATGTTTTTCTTGTTTTCTTCCTAGCTAGACAGGAGGCATCCTTCTTCCCCGGTCCCATGCTCTGACTCAGTTTGGAAACTGGTCAGTTGTCTCATCCATTCCCTGTGCTCTGAGGTAGCACTAGCCACCGTCTTTTAAATGCTATCAAAAAGCATCCTCCACTTCTCTCCTGCCCTGACTTTGGGTCAATGCTCTCTTCCTAGGCCCCTCTCCCCAAATGCAGCCATTCTGGGAAGGCCTGACTCAAATACAAGAGTTTTCAACTTTTCTTCTGGTTCTTGGCTCACGTAGAGGCTCTTCCCACAGAAATACACAACTGCCCAAAATAAAAAACACACACACACAAAAACTGGCTTCCAATTTTAGGGTTTCCCAGTCTTGCTTGCCTATACATTTGGGTTAAGAAATCTCCCTGGTGTGAGAGTTTAGGACATGCTTTCTGATCCAAATGACTCTGTCCCTGGAAGCTGGGGGGGTGGAGGGGACCGGGCAAGGAGGACCTGGGACCATGGTCGCCTACCTGCCTTGTTTGTCTTGGAGCCAGCCCTGGACCATGCAGGGAGAAGGGAAATGAGATCACTGGTCACCCAAGGGCTTGTGCACCCAGGACCCTGCAGGCTCAAATGTGGGCTGAGTGGCGTCTCCTCAGCTCAGCCCATCCAGTCCCTAGATCAGCGGTTCCTAGCAATACCCTTTTGCAAAGAAAGAAAGCTATTGTGGTGGAAGGTCAGAACCAAGCAAGTCAATGGCCAGCAGTGGAGGGTAGGGGTTATTTAAAAAGAGCACCTTGGCCAGGAGAGTTGGCTCACACTTGTAATCCCAGCACTTTGAGAGGCAGAGGCTGGAGGATCGCTCAAGACCAGCCTGGGCAACATAGCGAGACCCCATCTCTACAAAAGATAAAAAAAAATTTTAAAAAGGAAAAATGGAAATAACACCTCCCCTACACCCCAAATTGTGTCAGAGAACTGGCCAGGCATGAGGCTGGACCTGTTTAGAAACTCAGGAACTGCTAGCCTGGGACATGGCAAAGCCCCGTCTCTACAAAAAATAAAAAAAATTAGCTCAGTGTGGTGGTGCATGCCTGTAGTTCCAGCTACTCGGGAGGCTGAGATGGGAGAACTGCCTGAGTCTAGGAGTTTGAGGCTACAGTGAGCCATGACTGTGCCATTGCACTCCAGCCTGGGCAACACAGTAAGATCCTGTCGAGAGAGAAAGGAACTGGGTGTCCTTCCTGCTAATAGCAATGCAGACTTGAGTGATGATGATAAAACAGTTAAATGTAACATTTCCATGGAATATTCCTTATAAATCATTACAAAGTTGGCTCTTCTGTCACCCTGTTAGGTCTCTGGAATCGGGAAGCATAACATTTGGTGTTTTTAAAGATGGGAATTCAACGTGCCCTAACTGAGCAATTACTATGTGCCAGGGGCTGGGCTGGGTGTGGGGATTCCAGGCTGGAAAGCCTGGCCCTGCTCCCTGGCAGGATGAGAGGGGCTGTTAGGCACTGTGGGAATGAAAAGAAGGCAGCTGTTCTGAGCCCAGGTGCTTCCCTGGAGAAGGGCATGACACGCCAGTCAGACAGGAAGGATGGGCAAAGGTGTGGTAGCCGGAACAGCTGTGCATTAAGAAGAGCTTGCCCTGGCCAGGCACAGTGGCTCATGCCTATAATCCCAGCACTTTGGGAGGCTGAGGCAGATGGATCACCTGAGATCAGGAGTTTGAGACCAGCCTGGCCAACACGGTGAAACCCTGTCTGTACTAAAAATTAAAAAAAATAGCCAGGTGTGGTGGTGGGCACCTGTAATCCTAGCTACTTGGGAGGCTGAGGCAGGAGGATCACTTGAACCCGGGAGGTGGAGGTTGCAGTGAGCTGAGACCATGCCATTGTACTCTAGCGTGGGCAACAGAGCAAGACTCTGTCTCAAAAAGAAGAGCTTGCCCTTCATGCTGCCTCGGCCCCCAGTTCTTGCCCCTACAGGGTCCAAGTGAAGGGATAAGGGGAGAGTCGCTGGGGACTGAGTCCGGTACTCTCCTGGGGAATCCTCGGGAGGGCTGAGCCGGGCCCAGGCTGTGGACGAGAGGCCTCCCAACCAGGTGCTTTGGCATCTCCAGGGAAACTCTGCCCTTTCCGACATGACCGAGGGGAGAAGATGGTGGTGTGTAAGCACTGGCTCCGGGGGCTGTGCAAGAAGGGTGACCACTGCAAGTTCCTGCACCAGTACGACATCACCAGGATGCCTGAGTGCTACTTCTACTCCAAGTTCGGTAAGGCCTCTTCCTGGCTCGGCGCCTCACCGTGGAGGGTGGCAGTGTGGGCTGTGAAATGGGAAGAAGGTTTCTAGAGGAGGGAGCACGCAGAGGAGGCTGAACATGTCCCTGGAGGCCAAAGAGACCTGTCTGAGCCTCGGGTGCCTGTTCTCCAAACCCCCAGACAAGCAGAAGTGCACCCTGAAGTCCCTGCCCTTTACTGCCCCCAGGATCAAGGTGCATACCAGTTACCCCCAAAAGGGAAGAGGGCATTGTTGCTCTCCCCAGTCCTGGTTCATCACACACCCAGCCTGGCTATTTGGAAATGTCTCAGATGAGCCATCTCTCAGGCCCCGGCTAGAACTTCCTGAACATCAGGACTTCAGAGCCACATTCACGATGCCTGCTGTGCCCTCAAAGTCCCTGTGCTACTGTCTGCTCTTCCAACGGTCCTGCTATTTTAACTCTTACTTTAGAAGAAACTTTGCATTGTTTCCATGAATGGAGAACTAGCATCACTTGTTGGAAATCAAAGGTAACCGTAAACATAAATCCATGAGGTTCGGAAGTCTAGCACCTAAAATCATCCTGAGTGGTCAAGCCTCAACCAGCATCTTGCCTCCCTCTGGCTTCAAGGCATCCTTTGTCCTTTTATTTTTTATATATATATATATATTTTTTTTTTGAGACAGGGTCTCACTCTGTCCCCCAGGCTACAGTGCAGTGGCGTGATCTTGGTTCACTGCAAACTCCACCTCCCAGGTTCAAGCGATTCTCCTGCCTCAGCCTCCTGAGTAGCTGGGACTACAGGTACCCACCATCACTATGCCCGGCTAAGTTTTATATTTTTGGTAGAGACTGGGTTTTGCTGTGTTGACCAGGCTGGTTTTGAACTCCTGACCTCAGGTGATTCACCTGCCTCGGCCTTCCAAAGTGCTGGGATTATCTGCGTGAGCCACCGTACCCGGCCTCCTTTGTCCTTTTAATCAAGGGACTGTTTATGGGGCAGCTGCAGCCACTTTCCCACTTATTTAAGAAAGGAATCTGTGAATGTGCTTCAGGTGTCACCCTTCACAATACAGTTCTACGGTTCAGGGCTTTTCGGAGCTGGAAGGAGCCTTACGGATTATCTAGTCCAGTGGTTTTTGAACTGTATTCCATAAAGAGTGACCTGCAAGGAGAGAGCTGGCAGAATCCCCTAGATGCCCCTGGCTCAGGAGGCTTGGCTTCCAAATGTGGCTGGAGCCAGCTTCAGGGCCTCCCAAGTGGCTGCTCCTCATTAGTGCCAATGGGAGGGTCCTGGGTACCTGAGAAGGAGGCAAAGCATCACCTAGGCCAGTCAGAGCCCCTCCCAGGCTAATATTCCATTTCCTGCCTGCTCCTGGGAAGCAAAGGTATGGCAGTTCCTGAGAGCTGCCCCCAGGTCTCCCCTGAAAGGACAATGTTTATCCAAGCTCCCCTTGGTCACTGCCTAACATTCTGTGACTTTAGTAATAAAATGCCACCTACTTAGTTATTCCCTCAATAGCTCTGATCAGATGCTCCTGGGGATGGATACAGGAACAGGACCAGGTCCCCCTCAGACCCCAGATAACTCCAATTAGTAGGGGACAGACTTGTAAGCCCATGATTACAAGATATAATCTACGGTTCTTACAGTAAATGAACACATATGGCTTTCGAATATCAAAGTGATGATCACTGTAATTGGTGTTGTTGGGGAGGTGTGGGAGTGGGAAAGAGTCACTGGAAGCGCCTGCTGTCTGAGGTCTTCAGCCCAGTACCCCCTGTCTCTGAAAGGCGGACTGAAGGCTGAGGTGCTGCTGCCACCTGCTGGCCAGGCCAGGAATGCAGCGACGTGCGCCCAGCAGAACGGCAACCAGGGTAGATGACTTCTTGTTATCTCCATCCATCAAATGCCGGCTAGCATCACCTAGTGGGCGATGTCACTTTGATTCATTAGAAAGCTCAAGCGCAGAGTCAGCATTCTACCCAGTGCTGTACACTGACAATGAGCAAATGAACCCTTCATGAATGTGAGGAAGCTGAATGAAATGGATGTGGCCTTTTCCCGTCTCTGAGCCCTGGCATTCTCTGTGAAATGAGAGGGCTGGGAAAGAATGGTGGTTTTAAACTCTTAGGAATCCGGGGTACTCTCTCTCTCTTTTTTTTTTTTTTCTCTGAGACAGAGAAAATTAAGAGCCCTCTTAATTTGTCTTAGGAAGAGAGCTCTGAAGGAAGCATGGGGGAAGATTCATCCCACTTTCGCTTCATTCAAGTTGAGAACTCATGAATCTTTCCAACTTCATCCTCCTTATCTACAACTCAGTGCTTTTCAGAGCTGAAGGAGCGTCATTGTATATATTCCACTGATTTTCAAATTGCTCCAAGAAGATCTATTTTATACGCTAGGCCTCTACAGAGCACGGTTTTGCCTGAAGGAAAGTACCCCTAGGCCAGGAACAGTGGCTCATGCCTGTAATCCTAGCACTTTGGGAGGCCGAGGTGGTGATCCTGAGGTCACCTGACATCAGGAGTTTGAGACCAGACTGGCCAACATGGTAAAACCCCGTCTCTACTAAAAATATAAAAATTAGCCAGGTGTGGTGGTGCACACCTGTATTCCCAGCTATTCGGGAGGCTGAGTTGGGAGAATCGCTTGAACCCGGGAGGCAGAGGTTGCAGTGAGCCAAGATCGCACCATTGCACTCCAGCCTGGGCAACAGAGTAAAACCCTATCTCAAAATAAAATAATAATAATAATAATCATAGCACCTGGGTAGCCCGGGCCCGCTGAGCTGGCTCATTGTAGGAAATAAACTAAACCGGAGACTTGGTCTAATCCATAGAGAGATGATGACGCAGGCTTAGTATAACTGCAGGTACCCACTCTGCAGAGTGTTTCTTTTCATACCTGTGCCAGCTTGAGCAGGGCGCTGCTTTTCTTTGCATTTCCACCAAGGGGAACAGCTTCCCTGGTCTGCAGGCAGCATGGGTTTTGTAGTAGAGATGAAGAGGGGGCTTCAGTTACAGTGACATAGAACTATCTCCACTTAATGTCGCAGGTCTTCTTGGCTCTCCTTGTTCCTGCTAGCCTCCAACTGCCTTCAGTTCCCATGCCTCCTTTTCCATTTGGGGTCCTGGCCCCACTCTTACTCTTCCAGAGGCATATATTCTGACCATGCCCTGCTTAACAAATAAGACTTGGATGCACCCTCTTTAGACTGCAGAAGGGATTAGACAGACTCGCCGTCTTCAAAAAGCTGGTGACTCCCAGAATAAAAGTCAGTGTCTTCTGTGTATGTGAGGGGCAAGGTCAATCTGGTTTGGGGACACAGAAGTGACCACAAAGAGAAACTGCTTCTACAAAGAGTGCTGGGATTTTCAGGTGACTGCAGCAACAAGGAGTGTCCCTTCCTCCATGTGAAGCCAGCTTTCAAGTCCCAGGACTGTCCTTGGTATGACCAAGGCTTCTGCAAGGACGGTGAGGCCTTGGAAGCCAGGGAGCCCTAGGGGTTGTGGGGATCAGGGTGTGGGGGCTCTCAGCAGGGGAGGGGCCATTGTCCTGATGAGGCTGTGCCTTGTTGGAACCCCAACAGAAGGCCTTTCTGTAGTTCTCCAGCTCTGCCGTGACACACAAAACACAGCCTGGTGTGAGGCCATAACAGGCTTCTTGGGGCAGACTGACTTGGGTTCAAATCCTACCTTCAGCATGTATCAGCTGCATGCCCTTTTCCAAGTTACTGAACCACAGGAAGCTCTTGACACAGGGTGAGGCCCACAGGAAACGCTTAGTTCATGTGCGCTCTCTTCTGCATTCCACTTACCCACCTGGGGGATCCTGAGTGTTGCTTAAGCATGTCCTACCTTTCCCATTGCTGTCAGCCAAATTTAAGAGGCAGCTTCCCCCAGCAGGGTTCCCATGCCCTAAGCAAGAGTTTCTCCCTCTCCTGTGTCTTCAGATAGGTTTTTCTTACTGAGTTCTTAGTGCTATTGGTTTTAGGGATCTGGGCGGGGGTGAGGGCTGCTGAGAAGATCAGTAGGATTGTGGGTTTAGCTTTTTCTTTTCTTTCACCCAGGCTGGAGTGCAGTGGTGCGATCTTGGCTCATTGCAACCTCTGTCTCCCAGGTTCAAGCAATTCTTCTGCCTTGGCCTCCCAAGTAGCTGGGATTACAGGTGTGCATCACCACACCCAGCTAAGTTTTGTATTTTTAGTAGAGACAGAGTCTCGCCATGTTGCCCAGGCTGGTCTCAAACTCCTGGGCTGAAGTGATCCAACCTTGGCCTCCCAAAGTGCTGGGTTTACAGGTGTGAGCCACCCTGCCCAGCCAGGTCAGATTTTCTCAGCTATATGTCCCATACCTAAACCAGATAATAGGCAACAAAGTATGGTTCACATCCACGCAAGTCCTCCAGGACACAGCATGTCAGTGACACTTCCGACTCTGTATCAGGACTTGCCAGCTGACACCTGCTCCAGCACATTCCAAGGTTCCCTTTCCCCACCCGTCTCATGGCTAGAAGTGGGTACTTTAGGGTGGTATGGAAAGGACGGGAAGATTTATCCACCCGTATTAAGTGAAGCCCCGATGACCATCCACACCCTTCCCAGGGAGCTTTTTCATATGTTTTCCCCTCTTGCTGAAACGGATCCTTCTCATCACTTTCTCTTTGCCCAGCAGGTCCTCTGTGTAAATACCGCCATGTCCCCAGAATAATGTGTCTCAACTATTTAGCTGGCTTCTGCCCCGAGGGACCCAAGTGCCGATTTTCTCAGTAAGTACGATCCTTCAGTTACCACCTCCCACCAGAGTGCTGGGCCTGGCCTTCTAGTTCTAGATCTTTCCATACCTTTGCTGGTCCATGGTGGAAAATGAAGCGTCTGGCAAGCATCTGCCCCGGTATTTTCCTGGCACCGCCGCCTGAACCTGGCGATCTCAGAACTCGAACCCATCCTCTTAATGTGTACTTACGCTGGGGATGGGTGTCGATCTTTTCACAAACTGTTCTAGTAATAAGAGTAGAGACACTTAAAGCCCATTTCTCCCCAGTCCTCCGTAATTCTCCCTCACGCCCTGGCTACGGGAGGGCACCTTCCCTACAGGGTTCTGAAATATGAACTCTGCAGCAGGCTGGCGCAGAGCATGTTCATGAGCAGAAGACGGGAGGGCGAGTGCTGGGCTGTAATCGTCTCTCTCCACTTTCCTTAGTCCCAAGATGAATCTTTTATTCAACCCGAGTTACACGAAGGTGAGTGCAGGCAGGCACGTGCCATCGTGCTTCATCCCTTTATTCCCACTCCTTTCTGCTCCCCAGGGAAGCTCACCCAGCAGCGCTGCATGGCTCCCAGCAAACCCTCACTCTCCTTGGAAAGGCAGTCATCACGCATGCGGGGCGCATATGTGTGGTTGCTCCTCCCAGACTCCTCTCCAAGCTCTAGGGTCTCTGCTGTGGGTAGGGTAGGACTTCTCTGTTGAGCAGCCCGAGGCTTTCCTTCTGCTAACTGGGTCGCATGCGTGGTTTTTGGAATCAGGGCTGGCCCTGATTGAGAACTGGGCCCAGTCCCTATGGAGAGAGACACACTCTCAATACACACCAAGTGTTGATGAGCGCCTATGTCAGGGGTTGGCAAACTACAGCCTGTGGGCCAAGTGCAGCCTGCTGCCTGTCTTTGTACAGGTGAAGGGCTAAGAATGGTTTGTAAAAAGTGGGAGGAAAATCAAAATATTTTGTGACATGTGAAATTAATTCCAGCGCTCATAAAGGGCTTTGTTGGAACAGGGCCATGGCTGTTCCGGTGCTTACAATGGCAGAGTCCAGTGGCTGCAACAGAAACCCAGTGGCCTGCAGAGTATAAAATATGTACTGTTTGGTGTTCTATAGAAAAAGCTTGCTGACCCCGGTCTAGGTGACTGAATGTCAGACACCTGTTTAAGTATCACAGAGGCCAGACAGCGCCAACACTGGGGCAGCTACTGACAGCTACTGGGGACTCCGAGCACTGGATGCTGGGTGGGTGATGGCCTGGGAGGAAGGCAGTCCCTGCTGGTTCTGAGCGGACATTGAAAGAAGGTGGGAGGCAATCTGTGGGACTGCGGGGAATTTACAAGCCCATTTACAATGAAAACCTAACTTTCATTGAAAGGTATGCTTTTGGCACTTAAAACTATAACTGAAGGCATCTTGAACCTTGGTTTCACCCTAAACGCATGGCCAGCGCCCCGGCCCTCTGTGAAGTTGTAGTATCTGCACAGGGGGACTATCTGCAGTAGGTATTTCCTCATGACTTCACTTTATCTGCAGCTTGTCAACTGGCCCCGGTATTCAGCACCTCCTATTTCTGCTGTGGAAGCTTGGAAGCCCCCATCCCCAACAGAGTGCCTGCTCTCCTGCCTGGGGATCAGGGGTCAAGGGCAGGACCTTTGCCACAGGGTGGGCAAAGGAACCCAAAAGGCTGGGCTAGTGCTGGGCTGAGAGCTGGGAGGGCAAGGAATGATCAGGGAGCTGGAGAATGACTCCTTTTCTGCACCAGATGGGAGAGTGAATTAGGAGAGAATGAGAGGATACTGTAAACCATTCTGTTGGCATCTCCTGCTGGACAAGATTGTTCCTTCAAAAGGAACAGTCACTTCCCTCTTTGTTGCCTACTACTCTTCAGTTACTTATACATAACATCCTTGAGATTCTTTTTTGGCAGGAGGGCAGAGTATGGTTAAGGGAGGGAATGTAGCACCTGGTTCCTTTTTCTGCTATCTTCTGGTTTATCAGGAAGAAAAAAAAGTCATGTTTGATCATACCTTCATTCTGATAGCTTCTAAACTGTCCTGAGCTTTGCAGTCTCCATTCTGCAAAAGAATAGTTTTATCGGGATGACAGGTAAGAGAGGCAGAACCCTTGACTTCCTTGTACAGTTGCTTTTATGTGCCTTGCAATATCTAGAGCCTTGTTCTCTGTGATTGTAATGCTGGGCTTGAATGCCTGAAATAAGCTTCACTAACAAGCAGAATCCCTCCAATTCCTCACAAAGGTGGCTAACCATCTCCTATGGCTCCCTAGACATCTTTAGAAATCTGAATTTACAAAAAGTCATGCCATTCACTTTTTCTGTTTTTGTGTCAAAGACCAGGCCATTATGCCAGTAAGACTCACCTGGGAGGAGTTATTAAAAACTAACCCATGGTCAGGAGAAGATGCTCAATGGGACTCTGTTTTCCAAGTTCCACAGTGAGCCCGCTGTCATCCTAAGCAGGGTATGAGTGGGGTGCAAAAGTAGCCTGTGGCGTGCAGGTTCATTTCTTTTGATCCTGTAAGTGAACGAGCTACTAAAAATACAACAGGATTGGAGGCAGATTGGCAGGAATGAGTTATCCATAAAACGGGGGCAAAATGTACATAAAAACCAAAAGTTTGAGTCTATGGGAAATCTATGATCATTATACTTTGCTCAGCTCCTACCAACAGTTCCGGGTTGCACGTGGCAATTCTTCTGCATATGGCCTCAGCTGCTGCTACTAACTGGCAATTAACTCAATGGTTTTCTTTAGCATGACAGCTGCTTCCCTGTATGGCTTATTTAAATCTAGGAATATATTCTGTGCCTTATGTGTGGAGTATTATGGAGTAGATGGTACAAAATAGGCTTATCCTGGGGAGGTAAGGTAGTGACATGTAACATTCAACAGTATTGCTATCTTTTAATGCCATAATGAAAGGCCAATACCAAGGCAACTTAATCCACTGGGAAAGGAGAGGTAGCAGCTGTGCTGGGCGTTTTGGAGAAATGGAGAAGTGCAATGTGATGTGTCAGGAAGAACTAGACCCCCACCTTGGTAAAGAGACAGGTGCCTGGCCTGCCTGGAGCTGGAGTCCCCAGTTAGGGCAGTCTAAAAGAATGGAGCCCAGAAGTCAGGTTTTGGGGGGTTGAATGCCAGTTCAAACCAATGGGGCTGCTATGTGATGGACAGCACAGAGTTACGTAGGCAAATCACTCTACCTCAAGCCCGTTTTCTTTTTGGAAAATGAGCAGGATAGCACCTGTGTCACAGGACTGTTTGAATCTAAAAGGAGAAAACACAGGCAAAAAACCTTGCATGGCACTCGGCACAAAGCCAGCCCCAGATGCTGGCTGGATCTGTGTGTGGATCGTAGTAGGGCCTCTCCTCCTCCGTTCAAGGTTGGAATTTGTATGTAGTATGATGGCACATACTGCAGGCTTTAGAACAGCTGCTGTCAATGAGTTCCTGCCATCAGACACTGCTGGAATTAACACACACAAGACTTCTAATCTCACCAAATGTCTACAAAGTAGGAATAATTATCCCCAAATTACAGTACAAAGGAGGCTCCAGTAAACTGGATAATTTACCCAGGGACACACCCACCCATTTCACAGGTGAGGCTCTAGAAGAGGCAAACGATCAGCTCAGGGGAGTACTTTTTATACTTTACAAATATTTTTATTATGAAGAGTGGCGGTAGTAGTATGTAGATGCCCCATAAAGCATAAAAGAGTCTGCTGATAATAAAATGATTTTACTTTTAACAGCTAAAATAAATTTTAATGTGCATTAGAAAAACTACACGTTCCCAAGTAAACTCAGTCTTTCAGATATTATTATTCAGGATTAAACGAGGCTGCCCTGAGGTTAGTCCACTTATACAGACCACGTGTGAGTTACAGCCGGGGTGTTCAAGCATGCCCGTATTTCCAACTTTTAGTAACAGTATCTTCTAATACGTCCTCTCAAGCATGGAGAGTAGCCTGGGTGTCACCATGGCTCTTCTGCGGGACGGATGGGAAGGTGAATATGGATTATGTGTATGGATTCTCATGCTCCATTTGTATGCACCTTGCAGGAAGATTCGGGAATTCAAGCTGCTGCCTAGAAGCAAGATCTAAGCATTGCTTCGCACCTAGTGGGGCTCTCACCAATGCCACAGACTGGGCAGAACACGACTTTTAACCCCTCTCCTTCTGGAGCATGATTTTATTTTATTTACTTTTTTTTGAGACAGAGTCTGGCTCTGTTGCCCAGGTTGGAGTACAGTGGCATGATCTTGGCTCAGAAACTTCCGCCTCCTGGGTTTAGGCGATTCTCCTGCCTCAGCCTCCCGAGTAGCTTGGATTACAGGCACCTGCCACCATAGCTGGCCAATTTTTGTATTTTTAGTAGAGATAGGGTTTCATCATGTTGGCCAGGCTGGTCTTGAACTCCTGACCTCAAGTGATCCGCCCTCCTCGGCCTCCCAAAGTGCTGGAATTTACAGGCATGAGCCACCACACCCAGCCTGGAGCATGATTTTAAGAGACAAAATTTATAAGGCTGTTTAAAATGGTAAATCATGTTAGAGCGTTTTTCCTTGGCTCTGTGAAGAGATGAGTAGTTACTCCATCTCACACCTGAAGCGTGGACTTGTCCGCTATTTGTTCTGAACAGTCTTGTCTTTCTGGATGAAGCTTTTAATCTGGTGACCACGTACATGATTGGAACTGGCTGTGCAAATGAACTTATAGCAATTTTACATATATGAGCGAAAAATGTATCCTCACAAGACAAGGTGACATCAGTATTGCACCCTGGAGCTGTGAGGGGTGCTTCCTGATCATGCTGAGTTTGTTTAGATCTAAATCTCAGAAAATAATCAAGCAGCTATCAGTTTAACTCAACAATGCTCTTAAACGATTCTGAACATTAAGAAGAGATTCTTGAAGGACTTGATGAAACATCTTCACTTATTTTCCCAACCCAGATGGCAGCAATGAGCAGATAAGGAAG